ACGTGTATAAGGAGAGCATGACCAAGTGAATGAAAACATAACTAAATGAAATAATCTGAATGCAAAGGGTGATGGATCCCCACTCTATTTTTCAACTTGTTGGCAAAAGAAATGAGTGCAAGTAAATGCAAGTACATTTCAAGTATCAATTATAACATAGCTTATGAAAATATAACATGCCAATATGGTGTCACAATTATCATGGTTTCTTCAAAAGTCAAAGAAATTGATGCATATAAGACGTGTATAAGGAGAGATCAAAACCAAGATGAGAACAAACCAAAATGAAAAAGAGACATCAAGTAGAATGAAATAAATTACTATGAAACAGCCCCTAGAGTCTTTGTGCCATTGTGCCATTATATATTTACTAACAAACTTTAATCTCAAAATTTTAATTTCTGTTGTAAATTTTTTACAGATCCCACCACCACCATTCTATTAATTAATGTATTTACATATATAGTTGTTACTCCCAAAACATTAAAGACCCTTGCCAATAATATTTTTATTATAAAAAACAAATTGCTAGATTAAAAGAGTAAAAAAGAGAAATACATTGTACCCAAAATTAAAAATAAAATTTAAAAAAAGAAGAAGAGGAAAAAAAACAGAGTAAAATATATACCTTGAAGCTGCAAAGAGGTGTCCATGGCCAGTCAGTGAGGATCCTATCCAGAGAGCAATTAGAATTCTATTTACATTTTAGCTACTGCAATTTTTCTTGTTTCATGGTTTCCTGTTCCCACCATCATCATTGAAAGATATTTTAAAATGAGCACATTTTAGAATAAGATTATCAAAGCATTTAATTACATGAGCAGAAGAAGTCTGAAAAGGAAATGAGGTCTTTCAGAAGAAAATGAACAATTGTTAGCGAAAAATACAAAAAATGACACCAAATCTATAAACTGTGTAATTCCCATCCGCTTTCAACTCAGTTGTACCAAATTACCGAAAAAATGCAACAATAAAAAAAAAGAGAAACTGAGATATGAAGTTGTGAAATGGAAGCCATAGATTTAGGGTTTCGAGAAGCAAAGCAAATACCTTGAAGCTGTCAAAACCTGGAACCCTAGATCTTACGGCAGCGTGGCTACTTACTCGCGGCGGTATGCTCTCTCTCCCGCGACTGCGATTGTCGACGTCCAACTTGAGAAGTGAGACAGCGCACGTCTGATCGAAGACGGTGAAGCCGGCTGTGAAGAAAGAGAAGAAATAACAGGTGGATCTGAAGGAAAGCATTCTTACTCCATACGCTGTCTCTCTCTCTCTACATGTGTACGCACTGTTGCATCTAAACTCCATGCTATATAGTTATATATATATATATATATATATATATATATATATAGAGGCTGGTTCAAGTGAGAATGACTCTTTGTGAAAGAAATGAGAATACAATGGATCAAGTACATTGGACGACGGCTAGGATTTTAAAAATCTGTGGTTTATGGTAAGGTGCAACACATGCGCGTAGGGAGAAGTTAATATCTAGGGGCAAAAATGTAAAACAATGATGCATTAAAGTGGCGAATAAGTTAAGGCCTAAAAATTCTCCGTTCACGTGTCCATTTATTGCGCCAAAAGGAGAAAGCTTTTTTTACTCTAGTCTTGAATGATCTTTTTCTTACTCTAGTCTTGAATGATCTATTTTTAAAGAAACAAAACAATATTTTTTTAAGTAATAGAACAATTTTTCAATGCAACAGAACAATTTTTCTAATACAGAGTATTTATGTACATTTTTATTTATGCACTATGATAATTGATATATGCACTGTGATTTATTATTTAGATTTTATTCCAATCTTGTTCTATCATTTTATGACTATATGTGATAAGAAATTCCGAGAATGCGTTGTATTTTAAAAAGGTATAATATAGATTCGAGAAATAATTTGCCTATGTGGGATTCGAACCCACATTTGTATTATATACCGCTCTACCATTTGAGCTAATAGGCAACGATTTGTTTTTGTAATTTAAAAAAAAACTTCCATCTTACACTTAGACCTATAAAATATGCAATTTAATAGTTTTACATCTACTTTATGTACTTTTTTCTAACTCACCCTCAAATGCATCATAAGATATTTAAAATGCATAGTAGTAGAATGAGTTATCATTTGCCTTAATTCTTAGAATGCATTGCAATCTCATGTAAATGCATTACCTTAATCAAATAATGCACAATAAAAGGAGAAAGAAAACGAAAAGTAATATTAGAAGAAAAAATAAAAGTAGCATATATACCCCCAATGAACACCAAATTGGCTATCAGCACTATCAAGGCTAACATTTTTAACAACATAAGAGACAAAAGTAAAAACTAAAAAAAACAGCAATATAGTATATTAACCTCCAATGAACACAAAAAATATGTCAACCCACAAGACCAATGTGATTGTAGTATCTAAAGCTACATGATGCACTATCATCTAGTTTAGAATGTAGTATTGTGTGAAATAAAAAATGAAATAATATTAGGCATCTTGTCTGCGGATTCCAAAATGAATCTCATAGATGCAAGAAAACAAAAAAAATGGAGAATAAACAACAAAGTTAAATTTTATTTAACGCATTGTGAAACATTCAGTATCACAAAACAGTAGACACATTTAGGCTATTTGAATATCAGCATTAAGATTTGTTACAATCTGGGAAAAAATCAAATCCATCTTCCACTCCCACCCTAACCATAAAATCATAGGCGTGATTGATTCCTTTTCCTTCTCATTGGGTGTATGGTGTGTTCGTTGTTCATAATCAATCTTCTAAACTAGTCTAAAATTAGTGTATAGACTCTAGGTGCTATCAAACATTTGTTAAAACAAAGCTTCCCAAATATAGTTTTCCTTAGATAAGCACTTGTGAACCTATAGTAGAAATCAGTACTCTAAGTCAAAACCAAAAAGACTGAGCAACATAAAAACGACAAACACAGATATAGAATACTTGAATGCAAACTCAGTTTGAGAGCCAAATAATTCAGTTTATAGAATATGCATTGCAGTGTTCTTATAACTCAGTAAAATACTTATTATGCTTTAGAAATCAGAGTGAATTCCACAGAATATGTACTGTAAACTATATATAATGCATTAAGGATTCTTTATAATGCATTAAGAATTTTATATTTGTGGAGAAAGTTTGTGATGGTGTAAATTACTTGACCGGTCAAACTATACTAGACCGGGTCTATAATAGTTTGTTCGATTTGGCAAAGTAAGAAAGGTAAAAATACGCAGATTGACCGGTAGGACTTTAGGTGGAACACCTGTAGCTCAATTTATATTATAACGGAGAATGCACGGGTGCCTTTACAAGGGAGTTTTAGAGAGAATGAATTTGGATCCCTCTTTCTGAGGTTTACATGAGTATTTATACTAGGCTATAGGGGACAAGACCACGTGCGCCCACGTGGGGGCATGCTGCTGATGTGGAGCGAGGTGACTCGTTTCGTCCTCGAGCTGCCTTGTCGCCTTGTGAGGGGGATCATTCCCTTTGTCGAGTAGTGCCTTGGATGGATTCTTCAGCATCTCTAGTTGTCCTCTACTGACACGAGTCGCTACACGCCAAGCCCTCGCAGATCCTCTTCCGCCGACACTTTCCAACCCCAGAAACTACACCGGGTAATCTCCGAGGGATGAATTCATCGAAGTCTTGAATAAATCGGATGACAACGTAGTTTGACCGGTATACTTTTTTGTGAATACACCCATCAATAAGCCCTCCACTTCTCGGTCATGCAATTTGTCATGAGCGGGAAGTAAAAAGTCTGAAATAGGACTCCAATTTTGAAATTTTGGCCCTTCCCGCCTAAAATTTTTGAAATTTGAATTTCAAACTCTGACTTTTTCCACGTGTCGCGCATCAACCGTTGCAATCAGTCGGCTGCAGACCCGTCGTTTCGCCTGCCAGTGGGTCATCATTGCGCCGCCTGACGCGGCGCAACCTGGAGAGGCCACGTCACCTCTTTCAGCCCTCCTCTTTCTTATATAAGGGCCTCCACCCCTCTTCTTTGTTCACTTTCCGCGATCAAGTCTCAGAGCTTTCACCGGTCAAGTTCCTTCTCTTTCGCTATCCAGCCCTCCGAGTCAAGTAAGTTCCCCTTTCCTTCTCTTTTTTCTTTCCCGGCCATGTCTTCGTTTAGCGATAGGATCTCGTCCTCAGAGGACTGCTCCTCTAAGGATTCCAACTCATCTTCCTCGACCGGGTCTTCTTCTCCTGAATCCACGCCCGGTCAGGTTCCCAACTCCTCCATTCCCGACCCGCATCTTGTAAATCAGGTGCCCGGTGAAACTTTCGTGGGGAGGGATGACCCGGTCGATGACGAACCGGGCCCCTATGACCCTGAGCACGAAACCCGGGATGCGTGGGAGGAGCGGCTTCATGCTGCCGGTTACTTTCTGCTTCCCACCTTCTACGTCCTTGACATCCCTTCCCGTGTATCCAAAATCGCCCTGAACAAAATTCGTAGGAGGCTCCCGGACGGGTATACCCTCCTGTACGAACCCAACTGGCCCAACATTGTCGAACCCCACCGGGAGGATAGGATAGGGTTCCACACCATTTCCCTGGATGCGGGCATAGTTTTTCCCCTTCGCCCCCTCCTAACCGAAGTATGCCACGCGTTTCGGATTTTGCCCGGTCAAATAACTCCCAACGCCCACCGGTACCTCCATTCCTTTGTAAATATTTGTACCCATCTGAAAATCTTCCCCTCTTTGCGTCTTTTCCTTTTTTGCTTCGAAGTCCTACCGGGCGGATCCGACTGCGAAGGCTTTGTATTCTTCAAAGCCCGTACCGGTAGGAAGTTCATTTCCGAAGTCCCCCAGAGTAACCGGGGATGGAAGGAAAAGTTTGTTTTCATCGAGTTTCCCCCCTTCGTCACTCCTCTAGCCGGTCTGAAATGGAATGACCATCTCCTCGACCAAGAGTATGCTGCACCAGCCTCCTCCCCAGACTTGGAAGCTAATCTCGAGATCCTTATGCGCGGGGATCCTCAAACCAGGAGGATCTTCCATCAAGGCAGCTGGGTTTGGAGGGTAGAGTCGGGGGGTGAGGGTACCTCCCAGGCCCAGGAAGCAGAGGGGCGCGGGGTACCCTCCCCGGGCAACACTGCAGAGGCTGAGGGCCAGAACCACCCAAGTACTTTTCACTTTTCTTGTGATTCGTAGTTGACCGGTCAAACTACTTGTACTTAACGGTTTTAGCTACTTTTGCAGATATGGAGTTCGAAGAGTTCGCCATCCCCGATGACCAACCGGCTGGAGAGACCGGGGGCTCCCAGGCCAACACTGCCAGGACCTTCCCGGTCAATCCAGAGACCGTGGAAATCCTCGACGAGGATGAGCCCCAAGACAACCGGTCCAAGGGGAAGGAGAAGACCGGTCGGCGAACGAAGAAGGTGGCCACCACGCACCCTTCTTACACCAAGAAGAGGGCAAGGCCGGATTCTGAGCCGGCCGGTCAAACCATCGAAGAGGCCTTCATCAACCTGGGGCTGAGGATGAAGGAGGCAAGTCCTACCGCTATCCCGGTCTTTATTTTCTTTTTCCTCTATTGAGAAACTTACCGGTATGTTTCGTTGTTGTGCAAGCGGGGGAGATTGGGCCGCACACAGTGGACCGGTTGGGGATGAGTTCCTCTTCTGAAGTCGACCGGCTGAAGAGGGAGAAAGAAGAGATGGCCCTTATCTTGAAGAGCCAGGCTGATGAGCTGATCAGGCTGTCTGGGCTAGCCGGGGCCATGAAGACCGAGATCTCCCAGCTGAAGGAGGAGAATGGCCGGCTCATGGATGAAGTCTCTGAGGCCCAGAGGGAAGCAGTGGAGAAGGAAGAAGCCTTCCCCGGGCGCGCTGTCGCCTGGGTTGAAGAGAACAAGGCCGCTGCTGCCCGGGTGATGACGGCGACGTCGGAGACCGCGATGGAGTCCTTCAGGCTTCTGTACCGGGAGCCTGAAGGAAGGAAAATGATTACCGCGATTGGATCCTTCGGATTCAAGAGCGGACAAAAGAAAGACCGGATCGCCTCTCACCGGGTACTGCTTAGAAGAGACCCGAGCTTCAGCGCGGCATCCTACGGCCTGGCTCCAATCCCAGAAGAAGAGCCTACTCCCCCTTTCCCCCTAGATTAAGAAATCCCCGGCCTTGACCGGTTGCTTTGTAAACTTGAAACTTCCATTTCCCTGGGCCCGGTGTATCTGTAAACATTTAACATGCTTGTTCCGTTTGAATGCCATCTTTAATTTCCTTACCGGATAATCTTCCCTATCTGCTTGCTTGTTGATTTATACTTTGCTTTTGCTTCTTATAATACCATCATAGAAATTTGGACCGGTACATAAATCAGGCCACTTCTTAATTGCTTCTGACCGGGAGAACTTCAAAGTTCTCTTTGATCTCTTTATCTGAAGAATTAACTCGAGTAACTTTGGCCGGTTAAACTTCAGTTTTTGCTTTTCGAACGTCTTCATCATGGTGGCCAACTTAAAAAGTTTGACCGGCCGAACTTTACTTTGGCCTTTTGGATAGCTTCACAAACTCTTTGGTAAAGTTTACTTTGACCGGTGGATTCCCACTCCATGGTTTGACCGGTCAACTGCCTTGCCTTTCGATGGATGTAGAACTTTCGAAGTTCTGTTGTGCCCATACCCAACCGGGGTATTCTTTTTTTTTTCTTTTTTTTTATTGGTAGGTTGTAGATGGAAACACCTGTAACCTAGTAATACTTGAAGTATCCTTAACCGGTAAGAATACTGGAGATTTAACCATGTCGAATGGTTTCGAACCCTCTCCAAGGTCCAAATGCACCCTTCTTCCAGGCCCCCTCTTCCGGGTGATTAAGTCTTTTAATGGCCCTTTGATTCCTACCATCCCGGGAAGGCCTTAGCTCACCCCCCCGTTCAAGTCTTCCCTGAGAAGGGGGAAACATGATGCGCCACGGTGGACGATCCCCTTCTATTTCTTTTAATGGGCATCTTTTAGTCCCCAATCAATTTGACGGCGCCGGCTGATTCCCCGACACCAGTCAAACCTCATGGGCCCGTGTAAGTATGGTTCGAACCTTCTTCCAGGTCCAGCCCTCTTGCAGGCATACCCTCTTCCGGGCCCCTCTTCCAGGTTTTAATATTCTTTCTATTATACTGAGCAAGACCGGTGTAGTAACCAGCGTGCCAGGTCCGGGCCTGTGTCTCAGTTGGCTTATCCAAGTGGATCCGATCCACCTAGGAAGCCCTCCTAGGATAGGTTCGACCTATCAATTCTGCCGCTACCAAGTAGAGTATTGAACATCACTTTGATTGATAATGTAGTTAGGCCTCGCCTAATATTACAATCATTTGTAGAACTTGCGAAGATGGTGGGAATTCCAAGTTCTTTCTACCGGTACACCATCTAAAGTTTCTAATCGATACGTTCCCAGTCGAATGATGGCTCTAACCCTGTATGGGCCTTCCCAGTTTTTTGCCAGCTTTCCTCCATCGCGGGTCTACTTGCTTCTCTTCTTCGTAGGACTTCATCCCCAACTTGGAAGTACCGCGGCCCAACCTTGTTGTCATGGTACTTCTTCACAACTTGTTGGTATGTACTCATTTTAACTTCCGCGGCCATTTTCCGCTCTTCGACCAAGTTGAGTTCGGCTAACTGATCTTCCTCATTCTGCTGGGGTTGATAACTTGATTCCCGGAACGTTGGAAATTCAGCTTCGATGGGCAGCCTTGCTTCACACCCATAGGTTAGGGAGAATGGAGTTTCCCCGTGAGCCCTCCTGGGTGTTACTCGGAATGCCCATATGATGTGTGGGAGCTCCTCCAACCACTTGTTTCCTGCTTCTCCCAGCCGTTTCTTTAGACCATCCACAATTGTTCGGTTGGCGTTTTCGACTTGGCCATTTCCTTGGGGGTACGCCACCGAAGAGCGATTGTGCTTGATCCCGAAGCCCCCCAAGTATTCGGTGAATCTTGGATTTCGGAATTGTGGGCCGTTATCGGTGATGAGGTTCATGGGCGCTCCAAACCTCGTGATGATGTTCTTCCAAATGAATTTCTTGCATTGTTGCGTGGTAATGTTGGCCAATGCTTCGGCCTCGATCCATTTGGTGAAGTAATCGATGGCTACGATTACAAACTTCTTCCCTCCTTGGGCGACTGAGAATGCTCCAATGATATCAACCCCGAATCTAGCGAATGGGATGACATTCGATACGGGGTGGTAGTAGGTCGCCGGTCTACCAGGATACTTGTAGAACACTTGGCACGTCCTGCATTTCTGAACGTACCTTTCACAATCCTGGACAATTGTTGGCCAGTAATACCCCAACAAGATGATGCGCTGGGAAAGCGTACGGGACATTTGATGCGCCGCGCATACGCCTTCGTGGACCTCCGCTATGACTCGCTCAGCCTCCCGGTTGGTTGGACATCTCAGGAGTGGCCCCCCAAATGCCCTTTTATACAGCTTTCCATCAAGAACTTGGAATCGGGGTGCCCTGAGCTTCCCTTTTCTTGCCCGGTCATCTTGTTCTGGCAAGCTCCCATCCATCAAATATTCCATCAGATCATACATCCAATGGTCGTCCGCCCCGACCAAGTTTGACCGGTCAGATTGGCTTCCGGCCGCTATAGCGGCTACTTCCAATTTTTCGATGCTTGCACGGTCAAGGATCTCTACCCGGGCAAGTTTTGAAACATGCTCGGGAGCATACTGCGTCAATTTGGAGAGAAGGTCTGCATCCGCGTTTTCCGCCCGGGGAATCTGGGCGATCTTGAACTCTTCGAAGCCTTTCAACAGGGCAAGTACAAGGTCCTTGTATTGTGCCATGCGTCCTTCCCTTGCTTCCATGTTACCGGTCACCTGCCCAACTATCAGGCTAGAGTCAGATTTGATACTGACCCGGCTGATTTTCAGGGCCTGGGCAAGTCTGAGCCCTCCAGCCAAAGCTTCATACTCTGCCTCATTGTTTGTCACCTTGAAGTTGAAGACGATTGCATGGTAGATCTTGAACCCTTCTGGGGTGGTGAACACGATACCACCCCCGTATCCTCTAGGACCGGATGCCCCATCAACTGTCATCTCCCACCATTGCTCAGCGGGCTTGTTGACCGGTAAGTCTGGAGTTAGACCGGTCATTTCAACTAGAAAGTCAGCAAGGGCCTATCCCTTGATTGCCGACCTTGGCCGGTACTCAATGTGGAATTGAGTTAACATCATCGCCCACTTCACCATCCTCCCGGAGGATGTTGAATTTCGCAACACTGCACCCAGCGGTTGGTCAGTCAAGACTTCTACCGGGTGAGCTTGGAAGTAGGATGTCAACTTTTTTGCGGAGATGAAAAGCGCATAGGCTGTCTTCTCCATTGCAGTATATCTACTCTCAGTCTCGTTTAGTGCTTTGCTCACATAATAAATGGGCTTTTGTGCCCCATCATCTCTTATTAAAACGGAGCTTACAGCATTTGGGGAAATTCCCAGGTACAGATATAGAGTTTCACCTGGTTCGGGTTTAGATAATACAATATCCGACGCTAGGTACTCTTTCAGCTCCTCGAATGCCCACCGGCATTCTTCGTCCCATGCAAATGTGTTGGCCTTCTTCAGAACTTTGAAGAAGGGCAGAGATCTTTCAGCTGAACGGGAAAGGAACCGGCTGAGGGCCGCTAAACGACCGGTGAACTTTTGAACATCCCTAACGGAGGTAGGGGCTTGCATTTCAGTGATAGCCCGGATTTTTTCTGGGTTGGGCTCTATTCCTCTCTTGGTCACCATGAATCCCAAGAACTTCCCGGTACGAACCGCGAAGACGCATTTCTTAGGATTCAGCCGGAGGTTGTACCTTGCCATGATATCGAACGTGGCTCGCATATCAGCCGGGTGGTTCAGAGATACCTGGCTTTTGATCAGCATGTCGTCGACGTATGCCTCCATGGTCTTTCCCAGTAGTGGCTTGAAGAGTTTGTTCACCATGCGCTAGTAGGTTTCCCCCGAGTTCTTCAAGCCAAACGCCATTACCCGGTAGCAGTAGGTTCCTTCGGGTGTGAGGAATGACGTCTTCTCTTCATCTTCTTTGGCCATGTAGATTTGGTGGTAACCCTTGAAGGCGTCCATGAAACTTAGGAGTTCGCACCCCGCAGTTTCGTCCACCATTTGATCTGGACTGGGAAGGGGGTATGAATCCATCGGACAAGCCTTGTTCAAGTCTGTATAGTCCACACACATTCTCCATGTGTCGCCCTTGGGAGCAAGGACAACGTTGGCCAACCAATCCGGGTATTTGACTTCCCGGATGTGACCAACACTGAGGAGGTCCTTCACTTCCTTCTTGACGAACTCTCGCCGGTCACTGGCCAGGTACCGCTTCTTCTGTTGTACCGGTCGACTTCCTTCCCTCACGGCCAACCGGTGGCAGATAACAGAGCGATCTATTCCGGGCATATCCGCCACGCTCCATGCAAATATGCCCGCGTATTCTTGGAGGACCCGTGTAATCTCTACCTTGAGATCCTCGGGGAGATTTGCTCCAATTCTGACCATCCTCGAAGAATCACCCGGGTGAAGTTCGATTTCCACCGTCTCGGCCTCGGGCTCCAATTTCTCTCGGGTCTCTCCCTTTGTGATCTCTTGGGAGATGACATTGACCCCCTTGGTCATTTTCTTGACTGCCCGGGCATAGCACTCCCGGGCGTTCCTCTGGTCACCCTTCACCTCACCCACACCACCTGGAGTGTGGAACTTCATGCATAGATGAGGCATGGAAATCACCGCCTCGACTCTATTGATGCCCGGCCTTCCAAGAATCGCGTTGTGGACGCATTTTATGTCCACAACTATGAACCGCATCTTCTTCCACACGGTCTTTTCACCTGATCCTAGTTTGACCGGTAGAACTATGGATCCTTCAGCTTCAACGGTGTCCCCCGTGAAGCCTGAGAGAGGGGTTTTGAGGGGTTCAAGTTGTGTTCGACACAACCTGAGTTTTTGGAAGGTCTCCAGGTATAAGATGTTGACACTGCTGCCGGTGGCAACAAGTACCCGGGCGACATCCACCCCATTAATGTCCCTGGTGATGACCAATGGATCATTGTGATATTCACCGGTTGGAGGGAGATCCCGGTCAGTAAAGACGATAGGCTCCCTCCTAGTATGTTTACGCCTGGGTGGTTCAGCACTTACCTCTCCAACGTAAATGCTCCAGACCCAGTTCTTCCGCTGCGCGGCTGAATCTCCACCCTTGGGTCTGCCGAAGATCATGCCGATGTGCTCTTTTCCGGGAGCAGGTTGCCGCTCCCTTGGCCGGTTATTCCTCCGCCGGTCGTTGTCCCGGTCATCTCCCGGGGCAGTTGGCCTAACCCATTGATGACTCTTCTCTTGGGCTTTCTGCAAGTAATCCTTGCCCAGCTCTCCATTGTCTATCATCTGCCGGATTACTCCCTTAACACTTTTGCATTCGGAGGTGTTATGGGAATCTGACCTGTGGTACGAACAATAGGTGCCCGACCACTGCTGCCCTACTTGACCGGTAGGGTTTTCTGGAGGAATGTCCGGTGCTTTCCGGACTTCTTGGCATTCTTCCGTATTGACTACTCGGATGACCGGGTCATAGTGGTGCCTTGGCCGGCTAGGTCCCGGTGCTTCTTCCTTCTTGACTTGCACCGGCTTGGGCTTGTGGCCATGCTCAGCTTCTCTCTTTGCCCGGAGCTGGGTTTCAGCCTCAGCAAACTCCCATGCAGTGTGGTAGGCCTCTTGATACGTGGCTGGGGGTCTCCGGCAGAACTCCTTGTATAGTTCCCCAGCACGCAAGCCATTCAAGAGGAGGGAGAGGACAGTCTTGTCATCCATCTCTTCCACCTTGTCCACCTCTTCCTTCCATCGGGTAAGGAACTGAGTAAGGTTCTCAGACTCCCTCTGCCCGGCTGTACTAAGATAGGTGAACTTCTTCCTCTTAGTACAATTCTCCTGGAACTTGGCCTTGAATTTTGAGGCCAAATCATTGAACGAGTCAATGCTTCCCGGGCGAAGCTTATTGAACCATTCAGTGGCTCGGTTCCGCAAGGTCTGGAAGAAAAGAAGGCACTTTTCTTCATCGGTGCAACCGTTCATGGTCGCACTCTGGTTGAAGGAGTCCAGATGGATTTCCGGATCTTCCTTCCCGGTGAATCTGGGGGCGTCGATCTTGACCTTTCGCGGGAAAGGTGTCAGATGGACCCTTG